AACGTAAACGCATACAATAACGTAGCTTTCCATAACCAACTAAACTCCAGTTATTCAAAAACCTATTACCAATTCAAAGAAATTCTTGATAATGTCAGCACACAAACAGCTTTCACAAAAAACAGAGAGCTGAGGATAACTAAGAAACTATTGGCTAAGAAAAAAACGGAACTACCAAAACAACAGATTAAAGCTGAATATTACTCTCTATTTCAGAAGTATAAAGAAAACAACTTCACCATTTTTGCCACTGATGCTTCAGGAGGGGTAAACTCTATGGGATGTGGTGTTTACAATGTGTCACAAAAACAACATTTTTACTTTAGCATAGATTTCAAATCTTCCTCTGCTTTTAGTGAGATGTGGGCAATTGCAAAAGCGGTTGATATCGCTTTTGAAGATAATCTTAAAAAAATTGTAATTTTTACAGACAGCTTGGCGTCATGTCAACTCCTATCACAAGAAACATCCAACAACTATATAGTAGCTAATATTCATAATACACTCAACAAGGCCAAAATTCAATGTGAAGTAGTATGGACCCCAAGTCATGTAGGAATTGAATTTAACGAAATTGCAGACTACATAGCAAAATTGGCAGTCGATGTAGGTGCTCCTTTAGCAACTAAACTCACTCCTGAGGAAGCCTTAAGTCAAATAAACACAATCATTAAAAATAACTGGAATACTAAGTACCAAACAATCTCACAAGAAAAGGGAAAAACTCTAGCTAACTTTTTTCCAGAGATACCAAATAAACCCTGGTATCACAACTCAACACTCGAGGCAAAAGAAATTAAAACCATAAATAGACTATTAACAGGTCACACCTATGACAAAGAGTATTTGAACAGAATAAAAATAGTCGATACAAATATTTGTGATACCTGTCACGTCCTTGACAACTATACCCACATGATTTTCGCATGCAAAAGATATGACACAATAAGAAACAAGTACAATGCAGTTAAAAACCACAAAGACTGCACTGAAATTTTAAAAAAAAGAGACTGTGCTACTCTCAAAGAACTTTGCAACTTCATCCAAGAAGCAAATCTAGATTTTTAAAAAAAATTAAAAAAAAAAAAAATATGTCTGTTTTTTTTCCCCCCCCCCTTATATTAAAATAACTTAAGACTAGAATGCTCCAAATACATTCTTGTACCTAAGACTGACATATACATTCGTATGTGATAAAAAAATTTAAACGATCTCAAAAAAAAATTTTTACATATCTATATGTATTCATGACTTATATAATAAATGATTACG